TCGACCACACGCTAGTCTTTGCTGCGGACAACGTGTTTTACAGACATAGCATCTAAGGGGTCATGAGATTGAGTGGTAGGACCGTCTTCGTCAATCCCTTCGTCCTCAGACTCGGTCTCTGACTTACCCTCATTTATAGTAAGCCTCTTCATCAGCTGTAAATAAATAAAAGGAAGCAAAATGAATGATTAATGATTTCATCAAGAAATAGTTTAATAATTTAGCACTGATTGCCAAAATCGTTATTGGTTGACTTCAAGTTCAGCTGTGAAATGGAAAACAAAAAAAGAGATGAATTAATAAAATTTTAAAAAATCAACCTTTAACAAAAAAAGACACACGATCATTTGATCATGAGTTAAATAATTATATACAGTATTGTTTTCATCATTTCATTTTAAGCAAATATAATAATATTATATGGTATTTTATTTAATTAATATCATATAATTCCAGTATCTTCAAAACAATATTCTCTACTTTCTGGATGTAGTTTGTGGACTGGGAGTAGGCATACTCGACGCCCAACAACTCTTCCTCTGCGGTCATAGGAGCAGAGAAGTTGGGCTCGTAGAGAACATGGTCCTGGCCGAAAAGCGCCCTCCCTTGCTCGTTGATCCTTTGCGGCTGGCGTGGATCGATGCAAGAGGTCCACATTCCTTGCCCTCCAGCCACCTTAAAGGGGCACGTTCCCGCCAGTGTAGTTATCGCTGCTCTAGTCATCGCCATCTTGGTTCCGAAGATCGACTTCTTATTTGCATACAGCTGTCAATCAAAGTACGCGCGTCCTGGCCTGCCTTCGCCAAGCCAGCTGATCGCTGCCGATTGTGACGTCACGAAAGTGGGCGGAAACAGCAGCCGAATCTTAGAGCCGAACTGCGATTGGTATTACTTCGGCACATGTATGCGATAATCGGCATTGTGCGGGCATTCGGAACATGCCGTCTGCGTAAGAGCCGTATTCTGTTGGTGTCAATAGGCAGCTGGCACCGTCCGCCAGCGGGTACGTATTTTGAACGCCCTCTGGAATACGGGGAACATGCCCCTTTAAGCTTTTCCATACGGGCGTTCCATTGGACCGCGAAGGCGATAAGGTAGACCTGATGGTGAGAGGAAAAGGAGACAAAGAGAAATGCATTTATGATTCAAGATGAATAATAAAAAAAAATACATACTTTGTTAACCCTAAAAAGATTAGGGACCCCCCCCCCCCCCCCCCCAAGTGTTCTTATGGTTAACACTACCATATATGATACGTCCATGGAATGGTAAAACTGAACAACTCATTAAAATAGTATGGTATTTACCTGGAAAGGTACAATCCCGCATCGCTTTGATGAGGTCTGAACAGAGGGTTTTTATCGATATCCAGGCCAGCCGGTCCCTTGAACTCAGCCAGGATGTGCTCAATTGCACAAGGCTCTCCTGCACATGAAAAAAGAAAAGAAAATGCAGTTAGAACCACAAAAAAAAGTTGTTAACAATGAAGGGAACTTGAATGTTGAGACTGGTTGACACAGGATACCTGCAAAAAAAACCATGAAAACAAACACACAATCATTGTGATAAACAATTACTTGGGAAGGAGCATTATCATTGAATCGTTATTGATTATTTTTCATACATGAGCCATCGAATTCTGTTAAATGATAGAAAGAAATTTACCTGGACACCGCGCGTCAAGCGTCTGACATAGCAGGAAGCCTGGTGGGGTGTTACGAAAGCCAGCCATCTCCTCGTCGGTGTATTGAGTGTAGTGCTTGTCACCATTGCGGATGGCTCTGATCTAAGCTGGCTCATGTCGTCAGCGTTGTACGCAAGTATGGCACCTGCCAGGGAGCTCATGAATATGCCATACTTGGAGTGAGATTGCTTCACCACCACAGAATCCCATCTGTGGAGCCAAACATCCTCAAACAGTGACTCAAGCCACGAGGTTCCGCCGTCCCTGTGACGAAAAAAAGAAAAAAAAGAACAAGAGTCCCAAAAATGTAATTATATTTAACTTTTAAAATAAGCAATGATATATATTCAACTTGTTTTAAAGTTATTTAATTTTGAAATTAATTAATTTTATGAGGGCAAGTTAGAGTTAGATTATTACTATTCAATTACTCATTGGAGTTCCAGTATACATGCATTAACATACATCTTTTGTCACAAAGAAATTGACATACATGCAGCAGTTGTTGTCTGCATAAAGGACTTTGGGGGTGGGGGGCATTCGCACAACGGAATCGGGCAACGAGGCCACGGTCCATCCTGGAGTAGCATTCTTCTGATTCAGAGGCCACAACTATAGTAGTCACAAATTGCCCCCATTCATTGAGGACACTTGTGACGTACTGCATAGTCCCCTTCTCGTCACCGTAGATCTTCTTAAGGACCTGTACACAGAAAACAAAGAAAGGAAATGTCAGATAGTAATGTGTTTGTCAATAATCTAACATTATCTACATACTTACATATTCTATTCACAAGAATTTTGCCAGACTAATAAATGTATTTTTTCCTTACTAATACGTATCATATAGGCTTGATGTTGTACTTATCATTTTTGTTTATGTATATTTATTTGACTAGTGTTTCTCTACTGAAATTACTTTAAAAAATAAACAATCGTAATAAATACCTGTTTGGTGCCATCAATGCACAAGATTTCTCCCGTCACGCTCCTGATAGAATCACGATACACCGCCATCTTCTCCATCTCCATGATAAGGTGGCGCGGCGGAGAGCTCGGGGAGAGGGAATAAGTACAGGAGGGATGGGTGGGGTGTACTTCATTTAGTTCTTTAGGGAGATAAACCGTTGGACTACCTTCCTAGCTATGTACAAATTTCGGAAATTTTAGGGAAATGCCAATAATTAGATGGAAAAATCATGATGATGAAAACCTTACATTCGCTCTAACTCACGATTTTCTTGGTCGATTTCGTTGGTTGAAATGGCTATGTCTTCAAGTAGATTTTGATAACCAATAGAAAGTTGCATTGGTCATATGTTGTGAATTCTGTATTTTATATATTATAGCTAAATATATCTTCACTGGACATGACCTAACTTTTGCAGTGCCACGCATGCCTTCTAAGCTCGATGCCTGCAGATATTTGCGACCAGGTGCATAGAGAACTGAAGGGAGCAGACGGTGTTGCGTAACATTTCGTAATATTTGGAATGACAGAGAGGGATGTGCATTGATATGAACAGCTGGTGAAGGAATTGATAGCTGAAGAGGGTTACATTTCTTTTTGTTAAGCCAAGTTAATCTTGAATATTTTTCCCTCTGAAAATTCTTTCGAGACGGTATCTCCATTCATTACAGTTACCTGCTTTACGTAAGCCAAGTAGTTTGTTGGTGGATGCTTCACATGCCTCTACCTCGACGATGATTGCCGTTCCAAGTACCTGTTATTTTAGATGATTAATGATAATAATAATAATCATGATAATAACAATAATAATAATATTTATATAGTTCGCATTACTAATGTTTCTAAGCGCTTTACAATGATACAAGTCGATAACAAGAAGGTAATAAAGAGACAAGATATTGGAAGTCTACTAGCAGCAGGACATTATCATTCCAAACCAGCTTGGCGGTAGCTAGGTATGCGGCATGACAATCATGACTAGATTGCTAAGAGATTTGCAAAGGCTGTCTGTCTGTGATAGTACAGTATCTATTGTAGCCACAAACCGCCTAGTGGTTAAAGAGAAGGTTGAGTTCTGGGAAGAGGTAAAAAATAATTTGTGAGCGTTATCATTCTTATCATGCAAGGGTGGAAGTACATCAGATAAGACATGTTCCCTGAAAAGCATGGCTCTTCAAATGCCTTCATATTCTAAATATTGTCATGTAACATCGTAAAACTCCGGGGTAGGATTTTTACGCCACGTGTTCGTGTATTCCCATATACATCTTTCTGTGTACAGTGTTTGTAACTTTACCAAGACTAGGCCAAATTTCTTATCATTTTGATGATTTCCAGAACCTTGCAATACACACAAATTCTTATATGCTAGATGATCAACCTTTTCTGGTCGATTCCACACCGTTTCTTTCACAATGCAATCGCATGACCAGAGCTCAACTTCGTCTTTAAAGGTAAAGACCAGTTATGGTCATGCGATTGCATTGTGAAAGAAACGTTGTGGAATCGATCAGAAAAGGTTGATCATCTAGCATCTAGCATCTGCAAGGTTCTGGAATCATCAAAATGATAAGAAATTTGGCCCATTCTTCGTAAAGTTACAAGCACTATACACAGAAAGATGTATATGGGACTACCCTATATCTCTCACAGACCATGAGAGAAACAAATTTACCAAATATATGAATTAGTAGGCGGTTTCCCGGCAAATTTTTTATCATCATGTATTAGTCAAAACATATTCTTTCACATGATTGGTAATGAGAGCTTCCATTTCATTTTTTGAAATTGGGGCGTTTCCAATACTGGTCTTTACCTTTAAGGCTTTTTGCGTACACAGCCCATGGCCCATATTTGATTTCCGCGTGAAACATTGTTCTGCAACGATTGCACGTGTGTAAACAAAAAATGAATAAAAGAATGCAATCAGTGGGGAGGGATTAAATTCGAAATCCTCTCATTTCATTGTATTTATATTTAAGTAATTTGTCATATTATCTTCATTTACAAACCCAAAATACTTGCCGATGCTATGATTTATTAGAACATAAATTGTCTTAAATGCTGTGATGAATTATAAATACATATAAGGAATTTAAACATCCAATATAAAGTGGTGATTGCATAGGCCGAACAAAGTCGCTACATGTATCTGTACGGTATAGGCAGACAAAGCTTGTACATTGGACGTTCAATTAGTATCAATGTATACCTTTAATATTGTAATATAATTTTCACCAAGACTGCCGGTGAGGATTGCTTTCCCCTTATTAACGGTTAATGAGTAGTGCTCTTGTTCATCAAGGGGCGTACCGTTACTATGGTTTCTAAACGCAAAGGAAAAGTGCGTTCCCATTGTGGTGTATAGTAACGCAATTTTCCCCACAGCCAGTGCTTTTTTTTTGACCGGGCTTTTATTAATGTATTAGACCATTGACTTGAAACTGTGTATGCTCGTCATATATTAATATGCATGGTAGAGAACACCTGTTAAAGATAATTGTGGTTTGTTTATTAATTGTACAGTGTGAACATTATGCCTACGTGTTTTAGTTGTGTGTACGATGCGTTATATCAATGGCGTTAAAACGTTCAGTATGGGCGTCACGTGCCCGTAAAGCTTTCCGGCACCGCCACCAGGGTACGTACGACGCACACAAATTTCACATGTTGCTTTTTGTCTCCCCACTTGTTCAGTATCTTGATTATCATACGTGTAGGCTGTATGATTGGTCAAGGGCATATTGAAAGCTCTCGCAAGCTTCATTGAGAGCAGCTATAAGAGTTACTAGAACGAATGGTTACAATTCTAACCGGTGACTTTACTGCAAGCACGCACGGTATCACTGCCCGCCATTTTTAAAGTGCTCGTTGCTATATATCTCGCAACATCTCGGATCCGTTGCAGTTGAATCTTGTGAGCACTTGAAGGCACTCTGAGGCAAGCGAGAGAGAAAGGTTCCCTGTAAGTGGTCTTCACTTCAGTCACAAGCAGGTACTGTTGCTAGCTATTGATTTGTATTCGTCGTGATCGTGACTTTGCATGTTGGGAAAATAACATGATACGTTTTCAAACGCTAAAAAAGAAATGTGTTCAGAACACGACTTCCAAGAAATTGAGTCAACGACATTCACATTATTCCATTGAATTATCTATAGAAGTCGTGATCTGAGTTTGTAACAAGTCATTGTCAAGTTTGCACATTTCATAATGTTGTGAACGAGGCTATTTGATGTCATCTTTCGGAATGTTTTGACCATAACACATTTATTTCATTTCGTTTATTTCCATTTCCAACAAAATAAATAAATACATGGGATTGCATTGTACATAGTAAAACAATGAAACTTAACAATATATTTGTATTTAATAAGCACTGCAAAGTAAATATGAAGTATCTAAACTCACTGATTGTAAACATGCATTTATATTGATTTTCAGGGAATAAATACCGTATTTTTGTTTTTGATGTGACCACTTCGAAACTAGATTGGAAAAAGAATATTTTAATGCGAAATTTCCCATCTTTGTTTGATTGATCACGTGACGCTCATCATTGCAACACTCATCTTCTCAAATCCACGCTTTCTCTAAATGTCATAATATCACTTGAATGTCTATCAGAGTTTGGCAATAAGAGTTTCTAATAAAGAGAATAAACACAACTTTGGCAAATAAGCACTTAATGTTTTTTTCCGAATCAGCTACTGTATTAACAGCGAACTGTTGATTTGAATACGTAAATGAACCTAATATATCGTGTTTATGACTGCAGTATTTTGACACCTGTCTCTTCATTATAACTCTGAATAAAATAGTCTAAAAAAGTCGGAAAATAGTGAAAAGCAGTGCACAAGGATCTATTTTCAACTCTGAATACAATGATCATTTTTCCTTTGTTTCATATACTTGGCCTAAAAATGCGTTTTTTTTTGTTGTTTTTTTTTGTTTGTTGTTGTATGTTTTCCATTTTCCATTAGAAAATAAAATAAAAATAAAATATTTTTTTGAAAATACCATACAATTATAGAGAAAATAGCAACAACAACAACAACTATTTTTCGCATGTGAAAATCCACCAGGGTACCTTTCTATTACTTTTTCTGTAACGCAAAACTTTATTTGGAAAAGCGTGTAAGAAAATCAAAGTACGAGGGAGAATTTACATTTTCTACTAACATTACATCGCTGTGAATTTTAACGCTCTTAAATACCGGTCATAAACTTTTTCTGGAATATTGTAAAAACAACGGAAATATTGATCGAATATGGTCCCGGAATATGGTCTATCATTGAAATTCCTTCCCAATTTTACCTTAAAAATCTGAGAGAATATTTTGAGCAAACGAAATAATAGAATAATATAAAATGATTTGCCAAAGTCCTATATTTTACTTGTCAATTTCATGATTAAACAAAATTATATTTCTCGATATTGAAACAAGAACATTCGGAGTGGTCACAACATAAAAAGGAAACAAAGAATAGATACAATTTTTCACTCTCTGTCTCTCCCTCTCTCTCTCTCTCTCTCTGTCTCTCTCAGTCTCTCTCCCTTTCTCTCTCAGTCTCTCTCCCTTTCTCTAGATTACAGACTACTTTATGATCAATGCAGTGTATTCATTTCAATTAAGGTTAAAATAATGCTGATTCTGGCATCGTATTGAACTCTTGTCTACGATGTAAAAGCTCAAATCAAAAGACTTGTTTACTATTTAATATCACTGTATTTCAGTGTATGCATACATCTCTCCCCATTGGTTACCGGCCATTTCATTCATGGAATCCACTTTTGCATACATGTGTTGCTTTGTCGGGGAAGCCTCTGAAAGAATTTTTAGTTGCCAGGAGAAACTGTAGTTCAAAAAAGTACAATTAGTATTAAAGCAGACCAACGAAATAAACCATAGTGAAATGGGCGTTGTTCGAATTCCCAAAGGAGAAACTCAACAATATACAGTATCTAACATAAAGAAGATATCAAACAGGGCACTTATACATACAGAGAGATGGAGAGAACATATGAGAAAGTGTAAAGGAGAGGACGAGATCGAGGAAAGAGGGAATATATAGCAAGAAAACAAGTGAGAGAGAAAAAGAAAACGATAAAGTAACCATTCTGGCATCCGTTTCTTTGAATCGATTTGATACATCTTTCATTTCAAGCGCTATTGTTATTATTATTATTTGTTTATTGGTGCGTGTTTTCATGGTATAATGTTAATGCACGAGACGATAATAAGTATTTTTAGCATCAGTGAGGATTATAAAGAGGAAAGAGAGAAGGTATTAAGTCCTGCATAATGAAGGAACAGTATGTATCGTAACAAAGCAAGCTTCTTTCACCAACAACCTAACTGATGATTTGCAGATGTTTCATGTGTCGTTTCCGCCCTCCCTCTCCCCCTCTCTCCCTCTCTCTCTCCCTCTCTATCTCTCTCTCTCTCTCTTTCTCTCCATCTCTTAACCTCTGACTTTAACTCGCTCCAAAACTAGCTCATTCATTTTTGTTCTCTTTCATTCTCCGTCCTTATCCTTCTCCTTCATTTATCTTTCTTTTGAATTTGTTCATGCTATCCCGTATATAATGTGTTTCAAGCAGCCATTGTACATAACGTCCTTCGCTTCGATTATAGCCCTTCCTTCCACATTAATGAAGTCATTGTACTTAGCTTTTGTATTTAAAAAATTCATCTTCGAGTACAACATCCATTATGCTTAACGGAGGAGATGAACACAAATATCAAGGGAGTTTTTGTAATCACTTATAATAAAATACAAAAAATCATTTACGCGTCACATGTTATTAACTTCGTCTGTTGATTTTAATGATTATTTTGATAAATTATTCACGACGATTTCCCATACACTACAGTCAGCAAGACTGTATTTGATGTCTAGACATTACGCTGCTGTTTTATACTTCTTCAGCTTTTGTTTTGTTTTATTTGAATGGTCATTATTAAATTACGGAGGTCTATTATATACCTTAGCATGAGGACCAAGATAACTCCGCATTTCTTTGGAATATTTAACGAAGACGAATTAATACAAATGTGGGTGTTTTGAAGAAATAGCAATGTATTAATAGGGAAATTGAGAATTGTTGGAGCCAGTATTGTATTGTAGCTAGCATTTTTCAATTTTATTTCTGCCTTTGACTGACGAGATACATCCGATGTTTTTGTTTTATTATATTGTATTCTATATCAAGTTGAGGTTGAGACAGATATGAATATTAATTGAAAGACGCCCTCCCCCCCCCCCCCCCCCCCCCTCCCTATGTTTCGGGGAAATTATTATAGGAAAGTGTGCGATTAATGTTTACAAGTATAGTTACAAAATATGCAGTAACCTCCCTCCTTAATCTTACCTGCCATGTTTTGAGATTGTCATCCCCATATGTATATGAATATTATAACTGAATCTATTCATTTAGATGAAACGAGAACAACAAATATCTGATTTCTTTTTTACAAAGCATCTGGGTAGTTTATTTTCTTCAATGATTCCGTATATTCTTTTTTTTTCTTCAATTGCATGCACAAAGACAAACGGTAAAGTTAACTTGTTGTACGCTGAATACAGATAAAGATATCCCCCTCCACACGCCACCCCCACACGCCAACCAACCAAGAGGGGGGGGGGGGGTGTGAAATGTAAGATTCTTGTGTTAAAATCCTTCTAGACAATCGTTGTTATATTCTTCGCTCTGAAAATGTGATGGAATGAAAGCCTGTTATGCGTGTTTCTGTCTCCTGTATAGAGTTGCTACTATATTTGCATGCATAATAACAAACAAATCAACATTTTACCTTAGCGAAGGGTGAGGGGGGAAATCAGCATAACATTCATTTCAGGAATATGGAGATACAGAGGGATTTAATTAGTATTAACACAGAGTCGAAGCTAAAGCATGCCTGATGAGGTTTTATTGACCATACTCTACGCGATGGAAAAGAGAATGCAGTGTTGAGTTGGTATTTCCAGAAAGAACAAAATTGGACATCTCTTTTGCTATTCGGTTTCTACCTCATATTGTCATTTTGTATTTAATAATTTCTTATATTATATCTCTCAAAGCATCTCTAAGTGTTGGGAGCCAAAACAAAATTGATGGCAAACATTCACTTCAATTGTATAATGAAGTGAAAGAGGATGTCATTTAACACTGACTTCTACAAGGATTTTCAGAATAAATGTGTTTTAAACGAATATTGATGAAAGATACAAAATTTAGATTTTCAGCGTACAACACAAAACCGTATTCGCTTTGAAAATCCTTGCAGACTTGAGTGCTATTATGACATCCTATTTCACATCATTACACAATTTGAGTCAAATTTTGCCATCAATTCGTCAGAGAATTAGGGGCTCACAACACTTTCAAGGGCTTTAAACTGTTTACTACCCGAAGACAATACCTTCTGTTGATTAGAGAGAAAAAACATTGTATATTGGCTTCATTCATATTTTCCATGATAAAAGATATCAGAAATGTCTTTGGAATTGACTTCTGTAGTTACTATGTTTAATTTAGTTAGGGTACATGCTATAGTGGTTTATTCGTCTGACTCTCAAGGGTTCGCATCCGAGCCCGGCATTAATATCCATAGGCAATACTTAAAGGTAAAGACCAGTTATGGTCACGCGATTGCATTGTGAAAGAAACGTTGTGGAATCGATCAGAAAAGGTTGATCATCTAGCATCTAGCATCTGCAAGGTTCTGGAATCATCAAAATGATAAGAAATTTGGCCCATTCTTCGTAAAGTTACAAGCACTATACACAGAAAGATGTATATGGGACTACCCTATATCTCTCACAGACCATGAGAGAAACAAATTTACCAAATATATGAATTAGTAGGCGGTTTCCCGGCAAATTTTTTATCATCGTGTATTAGTCAAAACATATTCTTTCACATGATTGGTAATGAGAGCTTCCATTTCATTTTTTGAAATTGGGGTGTTTCCAGTACTGGTCTTTACCTT